GCATGTATCTCCAAATATCCAGAAAGCAGAAAAAGGATATTTTTAAATTGGAAAAAAGAAGATTGTTAATGTGAAGGCAAGTCTTTTATGTCTTTTTATTGGAAGAATATTTGCTTTTCTATGATCTGAGATCAGTCAAAAAAGAATAAAAAGCCTAACGGTTTTGATTGTGGCCATTGGATGTAAATAAAAGAGATGTACTTGCAACTGAAGTCAAGATTTTGCAAGCAGAACTTGCAGATATTCTAAGATGTCAGAGGAACTATGGTCCATGTCCCCACCATTTGATTTTTTTGTTTAAGAGGACAGGATTTTACTTAAAAAGGAAAAACAAAAAACTACCATTTTGAAAATGAACTTTCAAAACTTTTTGGAAATTTTACAAAAGACATAGATGGAACAGCAATATCTATGATTTGTCCATGTTATAATTCATGTCTATATATTGATCACCTAAACAATTTTACCATTTGCAATTATAATAAGTAAACCAGAAAAGAAGCACAAGGTTAATGTGTATTAAACAAAACAAGAAAGTGCTGGTTAGGAAATGTGATTGTGGTATATTAAATTAAATATGAATTTTAAATGGAAAGTTGGATGTGAGTATTTATAGAATCCAAATCTTAGGTCAAACATGCACAGAAGAAAATCAAATAAGAAATGCACACAAAGAAGCATAAACATATACTGTTAATTCAGCTACAGACATGGACATTAATTATGCCAGGATTCGTAATTCTGACTTTCCTTGACAGAATCATGTCACCCTTTATTTCCTCCTGTCAGTGTCTCTAACCAAAGTCTGAGAAATGTCAGAACGATAAGGATCTTCATAGCCACAAGATCTAATATACGTCCTACTTTATCAATGGCTAATTCATTCCTCCAGAGAATACATAGTGGCACCACTATGTGCCAAACACTATGCCAGACAATAGGGCACAGTAGTGAACCAATAGGCATGGTTCATGCTCTGTTCTGTGCAGAGAAGAAAAGGCATTGGACAAGGAACTATTAATACATATATACAGTATGTTCCTGTGGAGAAATAAAAGGTGTGATAAGAATCTCTAAGAGGCCAAACTAGTTGGGAGTGGGGGAGGTGCCACAGGGGCAGAGTGAGGGGTCTGGGAAGTGTTCCTCGAGGTAGTAACTTCTAAGCTGGGCCTTAAAGAGTGGGTAGGTAAAGGCAAGGATGAGAGAAACATGTCCCTGGTAAGTGAGGACAGAAGTAAAACTTTCAGGAAACAAGAACAAAAAGCTTCCAGTGTGATATGCGCACAGAGATTGCAGAGAAAGAGTTGCCACTGGATGTAGAGGGAGAGGGAGTGAGGAGGCAATCGTCGAGCTACACTCTTCCTTCATTATACAGGAAGGAGGATACTGGATTGGATGAATGAGGGTCCCACAGGGAAGGGACACTGGAGGAAGACAGGTTTGTGGAGAAGAAGAGGAAACTTTCAGGTTTGTGCATTGAACTTTGAGGGCTCTGTAAGACAATCAAATAAAAAGTTGGACATTATTATCTGCAGCTCCTAAGAGATGTCTGAATGGGTTGGAGATATATCTTTACAAATATTGAAAATATATAGGTTAAAGAAAACATTTAAGTAAATGCCAATGCCTAAGGAGAGAGAATGCAACAAGACTAGGACTTAACTGAACAAAGCCATCATATAATAGATTTGGCTACATAAAGTGTGTGTGTGTGTGTGTGTGTGTGTGTGTGTGCGCGTGTTCACGCATGTGCGGCTTTATATGTGTAGAGACAAAAGGGGTTTTGAAGGATATTTATTGACTAGCACACAAAACTCCTCAATGAGTGTTTATATAAACTCTGCTTAGTCTACATATTCAAAAAATCTTAGAAAAAGCTTCAAAGTAGGATAAATTTTTCAAACTCCAAAACAAATCATGACATATAAATCTGTAAGACTTACGGCATAAGAGAGTTAATGGCCATATAATTCAATTCCTGAAACAAGGTTTTTTTTAAAATATCTGGATGTTTATTCTGTATTCATAGAATCTCCTCCAAGGTCATGAATTCTGAGTTAGTTAGTAGAAATATCAGCAATGAAAAATTTATCCCTGTGTACTATGAGCTGATTTACCTTATCAAGAAACGTAAATTATTTAGGGGCTCTTTCCTCAGAAATATTTTCTAAACTGCTTTCTGGTTTCCTCTTTCCCACCTCTGTAGTTTTATGGAAATGGTGATACAAAATGCCAATGAGGCAAAATTTAGTTTAACCTAAGGTGCCTATTTAGGGGTAATTACTTGGCACTTAAGCAATATTTAAGTGCCCAACTTCTAGGTGACTAACTCTCGGGCCATGTGTGGCATTTATGTATTGTCACAATGTTAAAAGTAAATAAATAAATACACGACATCCATAAAAAATTGTGGGCTTATTTTGTCTTTTTCAATAAGTTGAGTTTATTTTGGAATAGAAAATAATTTCAATTATGGCTGGCTTAGGAGCAAGAATGTCATACACCTGGGCTTGGGGACACTGGGAGAGAGAGGGCCAGGGAAGCAAGAGGCTCTGTGTGTTTGTCATTCTTGAATTGTGAAGCAGCACACGCTCAGGGCTCCCAAAATGCATGACAGAGATCATTTCACAAATTAGTAATGAGTTCCGGTTCTTTCTTTTTTGCCTTTCCCATTCTTGTGATTAGACAACATTTAATTAAGTACAGTCTTCCTTTGATTTCTTCTGTTCACCGTTAATTGTGTTCTGTTAGCTTCCAAATGTATTAATTTAGTCTTAGTTTATAAAAAATAATTCATAGGGCTAAATAAGCTAATTTAATGGGGTTAGAGTAGCAAAAGACGACCTCTTTGCTTTGTTTTAAAAGTCATGAAATAGTCCAACTGCTGGTGAAATACCTTCTCAGCTACTAAAAAGGAAACATTTATCCACAGTGCTTTTTTAAAATTATGTTTGGGGACAACCCATATTGTCTAATATATATCACAAATAGGAGTAAAATGCTTTATTGAAAACTGTGCATTTTGATAATACAATTGACTGGCTGAATGAATGGATGAAGTGAATACAGATTTCATATTACAAATTAAAGCAAAAATAACCCCATGATAATTTATATTTTGCTTTAAATTACTATGGATAATTGTTGCACAAATGTTTTGTTTCCCTAATCGTGAAGTTGTTTGGGTAGGTTTACAGTGTTCCTCAACTGATAGCATTCTAGATACCAAAAAGAAGGTGCTTTGTGATTAAAACTTTTCTTCAGAATAAGCAAATCACAATGGAAATTGAGAGTTGTCAATATTTCAATCTCATACAGCAAGGCCTTATCCATATTAAAGTGTATACTTGAATATACGTGAATTTTATAGATTCAAACAAAAATAACCATAACCTTATTAATGTCCAAAATGTTGCTGACAGCAAACTCATTATGTCAACTATAAAAAAAAGTTCAATCATTTTTAATCACTTCTTAATATTAACAATAAATCTCTCATTTATATATAGGACTATATTGCCTATAATGTTTTCTAGATTGAGTTTGGACCACCTTGAAGAGTCTGTGTATACCAGATAATTTATATATCACATCAACCTAGGGGCTCACGTGCTTTCTTAGAACATTTCAACTTTATCTAAGTTAGCGCATGAGTAGTCCCGTTTGTATATGAGTAGCATATACAAACGGGCACCGACATTTACATTTGCCTTATTGAGGCTATCGTTCCTGATGAAGTGGACTCGTTTTTGTTAACAGTAATTTGTTAACATCTGTATACAGTTCTTATAAGATGCAATAGAATTCTTATAATTTTGGTGATATTATACCTGCAAACACACACATATCTAATTGTGCTGAAATCCGTAATGTTCTAAAACTTAAGATCTTTTCTCCATCTACAATTGCATTAATCTTGTATACCCAAGGAGATGTCTCACATTAACATATGGTTCAAGTTTTAGGATTTAAAAACTAATTGTAATGGCCTCAGGTAAAATAAATATACACAAAAAAATGTAACACTCTTGCCCCAGGAATGTTACTTCAAGTTTCTGATGATCACTTATTGTACATGTGATGCTTTACTAAAGTATGTTTCCTTTACACTAAGCCAAGAATGACACTTTTGCAGCTGATTAAGTAACACAATTAATGTCATACAATATCCTAAAAATGATTGAGCTTAAAATGCAAAATAAAAGCAATTGGGAGGATTATGGCAGTTAATCGTTTTAGGTTTCCCTTTGAAGAATCATCTTCATTTAACAGAAAACAAATGCTCTTTTTACTGTTTAGTATTCTTGTTGTTTTGTTGAGTTTGTTGTCCAGAATAGATGTTTGACTATAAATGCTACCTTCTGATTTTATTCTTTCCTAATAGTGTGGTCTCAGCAGCATACATATTTAGCTCCTCTGAGTGTTTAAAACAACTCCCTTTGGTATTCTATATATGATTTTGCTCAGCAGATTTGTATTATTAAAAAGTATATAATGGCATACAGAACATTTGGAAAATCCACATAGGAACTAAACAATCCTATTTATTGTTAACATTCAACTAGTCCATTTTGCATGTGCCTTGCAGTAACTGTCATAAAAATGAGTAGTTAGACATTTTTAAATTGTAAGGACTATCTATTTGATTAACCCACGATTTTATTTATGTAGCATAGAACTTATAAACCCTTCCTGCATTAGATTGGGCTTCAAACATTCAATAAAACACATTTACTGTGTCCAAGATTAAATCATACATTGTTTAAAATTAATTATTCCTTTTTAATTGCATTGTATAAACAGAAATGACCTGTTAATTTAAAGAAAATCTATCAGCACAAAATGAATTCACTCATATAAACAAGCAAGATGAACTTGACCTTGTTTGAACTTGTTTTGATGTGGCCCAGATGGTAGGCTACATGCTTGAATAGCAGGCTAAAGCTAAGGAAAAACTCATATAGCAAGATCTAGATTTATAGCCTTCTGCAAATTCCTACCTTGTATTGTCCTTTCAGCATCTGTTCTGCCGCCACTGCGGTCAGCTTCTATCTCTGGGGTCAGAGAGTCTAAAAGCACAGAAAGGTAAGAGTGACACATATTTCATTTGATTCCTATTGTCCTTTAAAAAAAAGGGCAACCTATTACCTTGCTGCTGAATTAACATTACAGAAATCTTTGTCATCTTTTAAAGGTTGAACAAAAACCATAACCATAAAATTTGGGGGAAGATTTGAATAGATAAGTAATGCAACATTGTTCATAAAATAGGACAAGGGGTAGAAGGCTTTCAGATTAATATTTTATCATGTTGTTAAATAGAGAAACAATGCTAGGTCCCATATTCTGGAGTTAAGAAACAAAACGGTGGAAGCACCTATGAAATAAGGCGTTTCTCCAACACATTCTTTCCACCATGCTTTCAGTTACAAGCATAGTTGAATGAGTCACAAGACGTGGAAATATACAAAACCACAAACACATGTCTAAATTGTCCTTTGAATATTAAAAGTGAAAGTTAGTCATGGATAACTTACCATTCAAGACCCTGAGACTATCTGTTGAAGCTGCCTGTTTTAGCGTCTGTTCTGCTTGCTCACGCCGTTTTGTCTCAAATTCAAGCGCTTCCTGCAATTTTCTCTTTGCCTTCTTCTCCTTCTTTAGCCTCTTTTGAACTATGGCTAGGAAAGAGTGTATGTACATGATTATCGTTTTTTTTTAAATTTTTGCAATGCTGCTAATTTACAATTGGTCTATGTTTTTTGTATTATTCATTTGGTTTTCCCGTTGGATTGAGTCAACCTACAAAGAGGAAGTTCGAAAAAAAATCCACCTCTACCTAAAATAATTCTCAGTAAAACATCCAAGGAGGCCGATTTTTTATTTTAGCCTTGAACTATTACATTACAAGAATCACTTCAATTGTCATATGTAAAGATAAATTTAATGGGAAACTAATTTTAGTAAATATTTGTATTCACTGCTAAAGGAAGCTTGATTAAATGAATTTTGTGGCTTAGTTCTCTGTCCTTGAATCAGAATAATGCCGAGTCATTTGAACAGGCAAACCTTTATAAGTGTGCCTTCTATCTTCTTATGGGATACCCATTTTGAGTAGCAAATGGAGCATTTCTACTACAAATGCTTTAGAAAAGAAAGCTAAACCAACTCCGTTTTAAATAATTCTTTCTTAAAATTTTAGAAGATGCAATAAATATTTTTCACATTTTAGGAGCAAAATACTCTTAGTTATTGTTAACATATATAAGTAGACATGTTTTTGTTTGGATGAAGTTATCATTTTCTGAGATAATTTCTTCACAGCACACATAGAGCACTATAAAATATTTCAAGAAATGTATTATACTTTCACTCTGCAGAAATCTGGTGGAGTATAAAATTTTACTGCTAATAATAATGTGCTACCTATAAAAATCATGGGTTCTTTATGTAAAATAGTAGATTACAATACAAAAAGTCAATTATAAAATACTTCTCTCCTACTGGATAATTTGAATTTTTGTATATAACATATAATCAAGAAATGATAGCTAATAAATGTTCTTCCCAAAATGTATTTTAACTATATTTTCAGTATGATAATTGTTTAAACTTTTACTCCATGTATATGTCAACTAATAGATATATGAGAAGCATATATGTGTTTTTCTTCAAAATCATTTTTTTGATAGTTGATAAACATTATGGATGTCAATGGTATAGAATCAGTATGAGAAAATTCTTCTGTTTGTCATAAAAAGTAATCATTCCAAGTTTATTACCTGATTTCTTACTATAGATGAAGAGCAACAACACATTTATTTAATGCAATTTTAGTCAAATGTAAGGTAAGGTAATAATGCTCCAAGTAACTATTTTAGTTTTAATTTCTAATTTTCACATATCCTGTTTTTATTACTATTATTATTATTTTTAAGATGGCTGCCCATTAACATGTTAAGTTTATTGTTGCTATGTCATGTATTTTTTAAAAATTTGTTTTTTAACCCAAAGGATGGACATATTTGAAACTCGGACTTGGGCGGGGGGGGCAAGGGCAACATACGTAACCTAAACATCTGTACCCCCATAATATGCTGGAATAAAAAAAATTTGTTTTTTAAACAAAATGTACATTGGCTACAATCTTATATGAAAAGTAATTAAAACTGATTTCAAATAAATGCTCATTTGCTTTATTTAACAGAGGAAAATCATATGCTTACCTTAACAAAGTTATTTGCCTTCTATTTCCCTTTCCAAAGATGGTTATTTATAAGTCTCTTTGAAAAGAAACAGTAATTTCTGAAATATTTATTTCGAATGCACACTATTGTGGCTCTAAGGGCTCAATACCTGGTGTATTGCCATTGACCTCTCACTGTTTCTTCCTATGTGATTGAACCAAATGGGATTGCTATGTTCTCTCTTCAGAGTAATACATTGCGTCAATAGACACATTCATAATATGTAAGTATTGATAGTTATTACCTTTAATTTATTGTTCATAATTAATTAAATGGGAAGTTCATGGTGTGATCTGTGAAAGTTTTGCCCTCTAGTGGTTAAATAAAACAGAATGTAAATCTTCCCAAGAAGATGAAACCAAAAAAATTCTGAAGGTCTCTCAAGTAACCAAAGGGTTACTTAAGGAAATCAAAGGCTTGCCTTTAAGTCTTTTAAAAGAGACTTAAACAAAATCAAGACATGGCTATCTCATGGAAGATGGTTTCACAGATTGAACTCTTTGACCAAACTTCCTTGTTCGCTTATCAATGTTTATCTTGTTTTGAGTATTTGTTAACACCTAAATCTATGTGAAGCCACATAATTTTTATAACTGTGATATACATCTGGGGTGACACCTTCCCAAATTGACCTTATCCCAGGAACTCACTAACTGTCGCTTCATAATAACTAATAAAACAACCTGGTAAACCCTGATAGTTTTAAAAGCAAAATAGAAACAATGCTTTTTTATTGACCATATTAAACACATAAAAGGAGAATATTTATATTGAATACTTATTAAATGAGATAAAAGGAGAACCACCCACTTTCTAGAATATTTAGGAAAATCTTATAGTTGAGGCAAAGGGGGAGTTGGTTATAAAGAAGATGCTCTTCAAATTCATACATAAAATGAACATTTAAATATAAATGACCTTCAGAATTATCGATAGATGCATTGTACAGTGTGTTAAAAGAAGCAATTCACATATCAATAATATCATTATTTTTAATCAGTTAGAACTTATATCAGCTTCTACTCTGTGTACTTGACATTGTTAGATGAAAATAAGACATTCAGAATGAAAATTATACAAACACTTAACTTTGGTCATTTTTTTCAGGTATTCATCAGTCTTCAATTTCAGTTGACAAATATGTTACTAAACCCGCTCTGCTTGAATAATCAGTATTTTCTATTTTAGCTTTATAATTTTAACTCAAGTTTTTCAAAGGACAGTTGTGAAAGAACATAAAACTTTTCTTCACGGTTGTCATCAGAGCTCATTCTTATCTTAAAGGTCATGAATCTGTTAAACTCTATGAGCAATAAAAATCATATAATTACTAATATAATGGATATATTTCAATTCCCTAAGATGCGAACAAAAGAGAAAACACCTACTATGAAGATTAAGAAATATAATCAGCCCAGGATTCAAATTCTCCTCTGAACCTTAGCTACAGGTAATTTAACAAACAAAACAAAACAAAACACAGTTTCAAAGTAAATCACCAAACACAGTATCATTATGTTGAATACTTTGTATGAAGTATTAAGCTTATTTGTAAATACCTCTATTCTTTTGTTCCATAGCCAACTGCTTCTCAAGTGTTTCCCTTAGTTCTCTTTCCCTTAAAAAATCCATCTTCAGCTCTGTTTTTTCCAGTTGGACCTGTTTTTCTTGAGCTCTGGCATTATCTATGGCAACTTTCAAGAGTCCCTGTACAAAGAATGTATTCAGAATGGTAATTTTTTGGTACAAAGCACATTTCACTCTTTACTTAAAAGCATTTTTAAAAAGAATAACCCACTTATCAAATTCCTTAACTCTTATGTCTTCACTCTGGACTCACTAGGACAGATACTACAAGCAAAGCACAAAACTTCTAATTCTAATTAAACTATTTTAGGAAGACAAATATTTATGGCATGCAGGTTCAATTGCTTCTAATTAGAATATCTACAACCAAAGCTAAACAAGGACCACACATAAGTGTAACTAAAAAATAAGAACTGAAAAGAAAATTAGGCTGAAATTCTTCCACAAGTAATTATCTGACATGGATTATGCAACCTCCCATGATCGTGGCAGTACTCACCTTTCTCTCTGGAGCTCATTCTCCTGCTCCCTACCAAGATTACATTAGCCACAATGGTCTTCTTTTGGTTCCTCAATGCAACAATTTATCTCTGCCCCAGGGATTTTGCTCTTTCTGTTCCCTCCTGAATGCTTTCCCTCTAGATCTTTACCGTGGCTAACACCCTCATTTCATTTCATCTTTGTTCAAAGTCACCATTCGAGAAAGGTCTGCTCTTACCATCCTATCTGGAATAGCTCTTCAGATGTATCTTGTTACTCTTTCCTTAAAATTCTTCATAGCATTTATCATTATGTAATATTGTCACATATTTATTTGTTTACTGATTTACGTTGCATTGCCTCCACTCAAATGTAAGCTTTCTGAGCCAGGACATTTTCTCTTGTTCAGCATTATGTCCCCAGGGCCTAGAGAGTGCCTAGCATATAACAGATTTAAAAATCTCAGGAACAGAAATTATAATATGGCCATATTTTTTCTTGAGATGTATAATATATTTAAGGAATCCAAAACTTGGTGGCTTAGGAGTGCATTATTTTTTAAGAAGTCATTCAAGATAGTTCTGATAAACTGAGAATAACTTTTAGGAAACTATTTGATACCATAATAATTTAAAAGAGCATATGATGAAAACGAAGTTTATTTATTCATGCAACCGATTATGAAGATATATATATATATAATTTGACTTACTGTGTGCTTTTAAAAAATTTAGCAGTAGGTATTTTTGAGAATAAGATTATGAAAATATGTTAAACATATAAAAAGCAGTCTCCATATTTTCTCTAGTTACCAGTAAAAATCAGAGCTAAAACTTCTATTCTTTTCATTTCAGCAATACAAAATGCTATTTTGAAGTAGAAGATATTTTGTCATGGTCTGTGAATATCGGAGGCTGAAATTTTCAGTTGGAATTATAGAAGAGATGGAAGTTGATGCCATTTGTAGATGTACTCCAGGATGTGAGCGCCTCACAAGAAACAATGTGAGCATTTTGAGTCAGGAATTTCAACTCCAGCTTGACTGGTAAGTCCAGTAGAGATGTCGTCTCACTTTAGCCTACCAATGTAGCCTATGGCATTGTCATAAACCATTTTTATTCTCTTTCAGGCACATATAAATCATTTCATATTTGTTATACATGAACCTGAATTTCCTGGTTTAATTCTTGTGATATGAAACAAGTTGAAGCAGGATTTCTACGTGACAGTTTGCCCCTCCCCACTCTTTTGTTGTTTACCAGTAAAACATAGCTGCTAAGGAAACTGCCATCTTAACTCAGTTCTGCAACATTCCTGTGTATGCTTCTTCTTCATCAGGAACAAATAATTAGTAACAAATGAAAGAGATCATTACATCAAGTGCCCTTTTAGATCACCCCAATTAAAACTTTAGTTTAGCTGTATTTTAATTCTAAGATACCAAATTCTAATTTTCTGCTCTGATTGCTCTTGTTGACTTATCTTTGAAAGATATACTCTCTGTGCAATGTCTAGAGATTATTTAGCAAGATGCCAATGTTGGCACCACTTAATGTGTTGATTGGTTGTATTATTAGTAGCTGTTTAAAATAAATTACTATTAAACTATTATTGTCCTTGGCTGACAAAACACAATATTTTGGTGTTCTTTAAATATGAAACAATCATTATGAATAAACATGTTGAATAATGTTAAGCTGTAATTCTAATTGGTGTAATTTTATATTAATATTCGTTGTAAAGAATGAAGTTGCTGAGAGCATTTATGTTTACTGTTTCCTTTTGTTACAGTTGCTACTAATGTGGCTAATGGTGGTAACATTACCTATTCCTGCTGATTATGTCTGAAAAATATTAGCTTTTAGGATCCAGTACTCTCTAGGGACTACTTATAAGCTATATAAAATTAAATTTAATTTTTAGACTTTAAATCAGTGCACATCAGTAGGAGTCCAGTGTGAACAAAAATCTGTACTAGAGCCAAGCTGATGCATATGCAAAAGTATGTTACTGTCAGTGACAGCTCTGCTTCAAAAATACAGAAAACCGACTAAGTATCAATGCAGCAGAGGGCTGTGAAAAGCAATAGGAAGTAGTGTGCACAACATCTACAAATCATTAGGACACCATTTCAACCATCAATGATAATAGTACTTTCAGATTTGTGTAAGTAACTTCTGTAAATTTTCCAGGTAGATCATGTGCAAAAGGTCACACTAAATTCTGGGTCTCAGTATCTGGACATGCAGTATCCAGCAAAATGCTGTGGCAACAATATGAATTACAGTAAAGAATAAAAGGTTTAGAATATGAATTTTTCTCCCAGGAAGGGTCAGATTTCAGGACAGTGGAGTTGGATAATGACAATTCTAAAGAAACACATTTTAAGCTTACTCACTCTATGGCACAGCAATGATAAGAGATAATAGTTGATTGGCCTTAAATTTATTTTCTGTAAGTGAGGCATGATAGTTGTCATATTAATACACAAATGTTTTTGTTTCCTAAAATGATCTACTTTGTAAATTAAGTCATTTTTATCATTTTTTCAGAGAATAAGATTTTTAAGGGAAAAAATGTACTGTAATATATGTAGCAATGTTTCTACTATTTATATAGTTTAGAAAGTATAAATATGTATTTATATAAGATGATTTCAAGTAATATTAGTAAAAAAGAAACATTTCTTAATAAGCTGGATAGATCCTTGGTCCATGTTTGTATTTTATAAAAATTTATAACTGAATCAGATGAGAAGGTAAGTTCCTTGAGTATCACTGCAACTTAAAATTTATGCTCAATGAGCATAAATTGCCTCTAATAAGAGTAAAATAGCTGAAGAGAATTTTAGGCATAACCATTCTAAACAAACAGTTTTAAAGATGAAAAAACCACACATATAAAAATAACATCTATTGGATGTCGGGCGGGGGGGAAGGGGGGATGAGGGGACAGGTATATGCATACACAAAGAGTACAATGCCCACCATCCCAGGGATGGACACAATTGAAGCTCAGACTTGGGAGGGACAAGGGCATCATACATAACCTAATCATCTGTACCCCCATAATATGCTGAAATTAAAAAAAATAATAATAATAATAAAAAAATAAAGATGGAAAAACCAAGGTCCAGAAGAATCACGTGACATACTGAAAATCCCAAATAGAGAGTTGACTAAGCTTAGATCAGAATTCCCCAGATATTTAATCTTTTTAAATAATTCTTTTAATGTTTCCTTAGTTTCTTTCCAGGATGAAAAGATATAGCATTCTTTGTAACTAGAAACCTTTGTAGATTAAAAAAAAGTATACTATCAACTGACATTTTCATACAAGCTCTTGTAACAAAAGACACAGCTATATCCAGTTAAATGTTATGGTTATTGTTCTCTGAAGTATGTGTATTACAGACTTCCCATTAAAAAGTCCTTTCAGGTATAAAGCCATTTTGTGATTCATGTGATCATTGGTGGCAATATGGCAACATGGCTCTGGAATCAACCTGTCTTTATTTAAATCCATACTCCACCGCCACCGTGTGACCATACCTGCCTCCATATTCTCATATGTAAAATGACGATAACAATGAAAGCTACTGGATGGGGTTATAAATAAAAGTCAATGTAATTTTTATATAATTAGCACAGAGACAGACACATTGAGATCATTCACTATTTATTTTACTATTATCGTTAGTGTGTCTGATATACATTAATAAATATATACTTGAGGTTTTGAAGAGATTATTGCTATTCTCTTGATCACAATAAACTTTTTTTTAGAATGTTGACTATATTTTCCTGTTTTTTATGATTTCTTTTCACAAATGGTAACAGAAAAAAAGTGGAGAAGACTCATAATATATAATTATGATTAAAAATAAAAATATATAATGTAGGACCAATATATATAATCTTAGCTTCCCCATATTTTGAAGTCAACATTCTATTTTGTTGGAGTTTTTTGAAAAGTTGTCTTCTAATTATTTTGTCTAATTCTAAAATAATTAAAATTATGTATTAATAATGTAAGTGAGCAAACTTTCAATTTCTTTAAAATGAACAAACAATAAAGTAAAACTATTGGCCGTGAGATTGAAATGTAAAGAATTAAAGATAGATAATCAAAGTAGTCATGTACTGCATAATGTTTCAGACTACAATGGACTGCACATATGATGGTCCTATAAAATTCTTTTTACTGTACCTTTTCTATGTTTTGATATGTTTAGATACACAAATACTTACCATGATGTTACAATTATCTACGGTATTCAGTGTGGTAACAGGTTTGTAGCCTAGGAACAATAGGCTATACCATAGAGTCTCAGTGGGTATGAAGTTCACACAATGAGGAAATGGTTTAACACCACATTTCTCAGAAGGGAGACACATGATGGTATATTTCAGTTTTACACTTAAAGTTCTTTTTATTTCATTTCTTTCTTCAAACACAGAAGTAGAGAATACTTCTTAGATAACCATGGTTGGATTATGGCCATTTATTAGACTACAGTGAATCAATCTGGGACTGCCATTTTCAATACCCCTTATAGGCCTTCCTTGTTTGCTTAATTCCTCTGTGTAGCCAAATCATAGTACACTAGACTCCTAGTATATATCCCCTTATGGCAAATATCTTCAATGCTAACTTCATCCCTAACTAAATTTTATATTCTCTACCTTTACTTTAAATTTCCACTTTTTACTTATTTATCCATTCTTATTTTAATATTTGTAAGCCATTTTAAACTCTTATCTGTAATAAGGTAGATAAACAAATTAAATAATTTGCCCACAATCCTATGTATTACAATAGATGCTAGTTGTGATTTACGGCATAGAAGTTCAGATTGAGACTAGTGAGTAGAGTTCTCCTTTAAGATGTTCAAGTGGTATCCAATGCTCAAAGGTGGTACGACCAGTCAATTGACACTACAATTTTAGTCTCATGTAAAATCTCACAGGAAGTTAGTTCTCCATGGACATGTATGAATGAGAAACCCATAATGAAAGATTTCCCACATTGAAAAAAAAAAAAAAAATTCCATGTAGAGTAAACAAACGCAGTTCTAAAAAGCAAAAGCAGAAACTGAAATGTATACATATCCCTCACTAAAGTAAAATTATTATCCTTTACCGTAAATATCTTTATCCGCTATCACTTTTAATTTCAAAAATACACAAATGTCAAGAAAGCAGTACAGCTCAAGTAGTTAACAAAAATCTGGTGCCCAATTTTTAATGTATATTCTATAAATTTAAATGTTTAAATATAAAAATAAATTTTTATATGTAAATATAGTATTTTTCTACAGGTCTTCTTTTAAAGCACAAAGAAATAACATTTATAAAAATTTAATTTAGATAATGTTGTCATGGAGAGGAGGGACATCTATAGTAATCACTACAAATTTAAAAATTCTGAATTGTCAAATTATAGTATATCATGATGTTAAATTATTGGCTTACTAGGACAATAACACTTTAAACACATTATTTTGAAGGGTTTTTTTGGTCACTGATTTTAATAAAACATAACATATCTTCAAAGGAAATATGGAGCTTTAAACTTACTATACAAAAAGTATGTTACCATTTTGACAGAAGGCAGAGAACCCCATTATATATAATTGAAACTGCAAAGGAAATTGAGGTAGGCAGAATGCAATTACCTAAATTAGAATTTGGACAGCAAACACATTTATACTATATGTCTAATAATCTAGGGTCATTATTATTTAAACATTCCATACTATTCCTAGGATATTACTATAACTCAATAAATGTGGCAATACTAAAAGCGCTAGCATCTACCACATTTTGTAAAATGATGTGAAATCATTATGGCCATAAATGTGTGTAGGGGTGTGTGTGTGTGTGTGTGTGTGAGTGTGTGTGTGTGTGTGTGTGTGTATTTATCTATGCATGGAACACAGTAATATTTTTAATCTTTGTTTTGCATATATGCACATGTGTGCATGTATATATACATTTACATTAAATATATTCATATAAATATATAATAACTGCATCTATATACAAACATACATATATGTAAGATTGAAGTGCACAAGCTTAATTTATTTTTAATGAAGAATTCATATTATAGGTGTTCTAACTTTATCAGACCCGGATCCCCATAATTTGAGACTAGATATAATTTGTTTTTTCTTGACTATCATCCTGTCATTAACTATTGCCAAAATATATCTTCAAAGCATGTGGTTGGAAAGGAGAGACTATTAAATCCAAACCACTTTTAATAAATAAAGTATTTGTCCAAAACCTGTATGTTTTAAAACTAAAATTTTCTTTTCTTTCCTTTTTTTTGGTAAGAATTACACTTTGAAGTGATGTGGATAACATAGTCTGAATATTTCTGGATTAAAGTGGCTGGATGAATACTCCCAAACTGACAGTATTTGACTTTTTGATGTGGTGGTCACTTACAAGCCAGAGTCCCTGTGTACAACATACTCTTCAGATGAGCAAGCTAGTTTGCACTGGTGAATCTCAGGAATGTTTTCTTTGCTGCAACTGAAATTAAATTCTCGCTGGCCTAAAGAGCTTTTCCTTTGCTTCATAAGGAGCTGTATACATAAGAAAATGAATTGTTCCCTTACTTTTCAGAACTTAAATTCAGAAATATTAACAAGTATTTTCTGAAAGCACTGGATTTGACAAGGAGAAATTCACTAAAATCTCTACCTCATAGAAAACAATAACAAGGGTGAAAATTAGGGGGAAAAAGTCTAATGTTTATTCTAAAATATAATCAACTATTTGGCCATGATTAAATTTAGGCAGGATTGATGATTTATTTCAATTACTGAGATATAAAACCTTAAACCTTAAAGTTGAATACAGTTTTGGAGACTCTAATTACATTAGTATTAAAAATGCCATATTAATAGATGAGAAGATATGTTACATTAAAGGCCTTCTGTTATGTCCTTGGAGAGGTAAATAAAATTAATTACATTCCCACTGGGAGAAAGTTTAATGTGATAGGATATGTGTACAGAAAAATGTCACTGAGGATGAAGTGTTAGAGTAAAAATTTTTTTAAAAAAAGCATCTGCAAGCCTGTGCCTACTACTTACTAGTTATTCCAAATATGGAGAAGTAGATGACAAAAATCTCCATCTGGGGTCCACATGATCACTTCATGTGTGGGCAAGAAAATCATGCTTTCTTCTATCCCAAACACTCTTACTATCTTGGCTCCATGCTCTATGTTATTGTTAACTGTAAGTATTTTTGATTCATAATGTACTGTATGTAAAATATACATCCTGAAGGCCACATAGGAAATTCATGGAAAGCTTGCTTTGGCTTTTTGAAGTCTATTCTTTGAAGCAACCCTATTAATTGAAACGGACTTATTTATGAAAGAAGGGATTTTTTTTATTCTTCTATATTAGACATATTTTAAATGACTAAACATACCATTTCCTCACTGTAAGGCCAGCAGTTTACAAATAAATAAATATGTACTAGAACTCATGTGCTGTCGCTTAGTAAATCAGACAAACTTAAACAGTTAAATTCCTCCGATTAGTCGGCAATAAAGAGAGTGTTTAGGCAGAATGATTTTAAAATGCCCATGTCATATTCGTCTAAGTTTTTATTATGGCTTAATATACATATTTGAATGTTTCTAAATCAATTCAATCAGTGTGGCAAGTTTAAAATCTAAATTGCTTGAAAAAGTTTAATACCATGGTTCAGTCAATCTAATGAATGGATTAAGTTGGAACAGTATGAACTTTGGAAAAAAATCTACTACAGGCTGTTCCATGTTTCTTTTTTTAAGATTGTCAAAAGGCCTACCTGTATGTTAGTCAGAAGCGTCTCTATGGAAGACAATCCATCAGGAAACAGAAAAGGAGATGGAAAACCTGGAGGCAGTGGTTGTCCATGCCCAGTTAGAGAAAGTTTGTCAAGGCTGTCTCTTGCGGTTGGTGTAGAAAGCGGGGTCTCATCTGTATGTGATTGAAACAAAAATATAGAACAAGTTACGCTTGTCTGTTTTTATTAGACCTCAGTAATGGCTTCCCTAGTGGTTTCCAGAACATTTATTGCAAATTGGTTCCTGCTATCAGGAGAAAATGCTTTCTGCTGAATTTTCTTTAATGAAAAAGCTGTGGAGATACAAGAAGATAACATTAATGAGTAACTTTATAAGCCTTTTAAATGCAGTCTCTAATGAGACTGAGTTTACAGTGCCATAGAATCTTTTTAAAACAAATATTATCTCATATATAGTTGTGATAATATATTCAGGCTGACTTTATGGGCACCTTCCCAATTATCTCATTTTAGTTTGTTCTGTTTGGATTGACCATAGAATATTTTTAAAGCTTCATATACGAGAAAGCCTTTGTATATTATGATGTTTCTCAATTAACCCTTTCTTTTTATCAATAATTTTTTCAAATATATTATCATGGAATTTACAAAAGAATGCACAATTAAAATTTTCATTTCACACTTAAAATGAAAAACCAGAATCCAAATATATTTTTCCATTTTAATGAAATTGTTCATTTTCATTAAAATTAAGATCTATTTCTTTTCTACTTGGAAATCTTTTACCTTCATATTGAAAAACTATAGCCTTTATACATAAAAAGGGGGTCTAAAGAATGAGTGGTAAAATACAACTTCCCTAACAATATTTAGAAAATCAAATTAAAAGCCCTCTAAGATAGTCTATTTTTTAATTGAATATTCTTCAACACTTTAAGCAATTTAGAGTAATGCCCAAAGACAGATACTTTTCACTCTCACAGTAAAATCTTTTTATTCAGTTCCCTATCATGTAACCATTTTACAGTTCCATTTAAGATAGATACAAGTTATGGCTTATTTTAGTTTATTATAACCACAGGAAAAAAATTATATTCATGGCAGGATCCTCGATTTTATAAATATTTTCATATTTCACCCCAGGAAAATTAATCAGAACAATGTATTTGCACAGTCCTGATAGTATCTCTCAATTTTGCAAGTGACTAAAATCTTCAGCACACTTGCCTTATGCTTATAATTTGATTTCACTGTTCTCCTCCATCATTCTTTTATTTTTCATTACAACACCTAACCACGCAACACGTTTTCCAATTACCTCTCTCTGGGGCAGAAATATTGTAGAAGCTGCCACACTTCCCTGTCCCTCACTAACGTCAGAACAAGTTAAATTCATCTCCCTCACCTTTCTCCATTTCTAGTTCATGAACCAAAAGGGAAGAAAGGTTGGGGAGGGAAGTAACAGACATAAGGCCTCCCTCCTGTTAACTGCACTCCTCTCACACTCACTCACTCACTCCTCTGCACTTTCTCCCTCTACTCCCTCTTCTGTTAACTTACTGAGACAGACGATCTGAGGCAGCAGGTAACAGAAGAAGAAACAGAGTAAGCAACTAAAGTAGGACTCATGGTGTTATTTTATTTTATTTTATTTTTACATACTTGTCACCAGGGTTAAAGAAAGACTGCCGTGCAAGGGTAGAACTACTACATGGCTAATGTGAGCAAGGTGATTGTGGACACCATTTACCTAGCTGTCATAAATTACTCCTCCAAACCAAGGCTGCTGGTGTTTTCTCATAATAGCTCTGAAAAGGCACTTGTTAAACATCTCTGTGCATGTGAAATAGTTTAAGAATGGAGAGCAGTATTTTTCGATCAGCATCACCTTAGCTGTCACATGCTAAAGAAAATGTGGCTTAATAGATCATGGGGATAATAATTGCTTGTCTCTTGAAGAAAGGCATAGAACCAGATGACCACCTGAGGTTGCTTTCAGCTTTAGAATGTATGATGCCACAATTATTAAAGACTGTTCAAGAAAATAAAGAATCATATGTATGTATGCACATATACACACATTTGATTATAAATTCCATCATCCCCATGATTATTTGATTTAAGTTCAGTCCATTTAGGCTTGACTATATTTGGCTGTTGTGTGAATTAAATCATTAAATCACTCATGATGCATACATTTATATAGCCAATATTTACTTAACATAAACAATGTGCTAGACACTGGAGACAGAATGCTAAAAACACAATAATAGCCTCAACAAGCCTGTGTAGACTAGAATGACTGTTTCCAGTTGTTTAATAGCTAATTTCTATAGTTAGCAGAACATTTTGCCTTTCATCATTATTTCTTCAGATACTCCATTTATCCCAGTATAGAATTAAATTGCTCTGTATATATGTTTAAGTGTGTGTAGGTGTGGGTGCACACGCGCGTGTGTGTGTATGTGTAAATATGTATTTCCTGCAGTTGCTTCAATGGAATTCTCATCTTGGTCCCCCTAGTTCCAGATGTATGAGAATAGATTATCATTTGTTACAAACTTATCTAATTGAATTCATTCATTTATCATTTTACCTAGTGGAGATACTACATGAGACACTTTAACTCAATACATAGGTAAGAAGCAATCAAATTTAGGACAGAATGATTGCTTAATATATGAAAAAAAAAAGGATGATTTTTGAGATCTGTACACATTTTTAAAAAAAGACAAACTAATCAAAGATCAAACAAACAAACAAAAATATTCCTTTGGGGCCTCAAAACCCTATTAGCAGAGAAAAAGTTGTCATCTTGTGGCAATTAACAATATAGAAAGCCTCATTTAGTTCTCCCTACAAGGATTGTAAAATTGGGAACATGGTTCTTCCTTTTGAAATAAAAGTGACCTTTGATACCCTAAATGTACCAAGAAGATTAAAGCAAAAGTGTGAGAGGCTAGACAATGTGGAAGAGAGTTTTGACATCACAGAATCTCCACTGACTTCAAAGAGTAAATGGCGATGAAGCACAAATTCACAAAATGCCTTATTCTAATCTGATATATCTTGACATATTTTTTAGCTTAATTTTAAAAGAAAGTTGGCTTGTCAGATGCCATGATTTTTTGATTGTTATAGCATTTGACAATGTAATCTCTGTTTTTTGTTTGTTTGTTTGTTTTAAATATTTTACTCTAAAATAATTTTAAACTTATGGAAAAGTTACAAGAATTGCTCAAGGAATTCCTACATACTTCTGTAGTATGTTAAATAGTGCCCCTCAAAATATATTAATGCAACCATGCCTAATTCCTGACACATATTATTTTTAAAAAAGGGTTTTCACAGAGGTGATTAAATTAAGGATCTTGAGAGGAAGAGACCATCCTGCTTTAGGATGGGCCCTAAATCCAATTCCATGTGTCCTTAAAAGACAATAGCAGCGGGAAATTTGGAAGAGGAAACACGCAGAAGAGGAGACGACAAAGTAAAGATGAGACAAATAGTAGAATTTTTTGATTACAGTCAAGGAATGCAAACAACCATCAGAAGCTAAATGAGACAAAGAGTGGATTTTCATTTATAGCTCCTGGAGGGAGCTCATTTCTGCTGGTTTTAGGCTTCTGGTCTTCAGAATCTTGAAAGAATAAATTTCTGTTGTTCTTAAGCCACCAAGGTTATGGTCATTTGTTATACCAGCCCTAGGAAAGTAATACAACTCCGATACACCAACTGTTTGCATCTTGTCAAGTTTGTTTTTAAAAAATTTCTCTCTCTCCCTCTCTTGTTCTGTATATTTGTTTTTGAGTGTGTGTTTGAACATTCTACCCAATTATGCTTTAAGACTTCAGTGTGTATTTACTAAGTACAAGGACATACTCCTACATAACCACAATACAAAATCAGAAAGAATAACATATGTAGAATATTATTACTAAATCAAGAGTCCACATTTCAATTTCATTATCTTTGAGATTCTTTACAGTAAATAGTTACATAATAAATATTTTCATTTCTGTGACAAGTACTTAATGAGTATTTTTATGGGCATGTAGTAGGCAGGTAGTAGTGTCTAAGGTGGCCTGTGATATATCCTATTATTTACACTGTGTCTAGTCCGTTTCCCTTGATCTAACAAATAGAACATAACAAATGTGATAAGATGTCACTTCAGAGATTCGGTTATATCTGCAACCTTATGAGAGAACTTAAGCCAGAAGAACCTAGCTAAGCTGTAACATAACAAATGTTTGTTCATTTAAGCCACTAAGTTTTAGTGGAACTTTTTACACAGCTATAGATAACTAAGACAATGTGTAACATTGTTTGAATACTTTGGGATATATAAAGAAACTTACTTGGTGTCCAGTTAGTATTAGCTACTTTGGACATGTAATGATTTCTTTCATATTTAATTTCTTCATAGAAACAATAGCTAAGCTGTAACATAACAAATGTTTGTTCATTTAAGCCACTAAGTTTTAGTGGAACTTTTTACACAGCTATAGATAACTAAGACAATGTGTAACATTGTTTGAATACTTTGGGATATATAAAGAAACTTACTTGGTGTCCAGTTAGTATTAGCTACTTTGGACATGTAACGATTTCTTTCATATTTAATTTCTTCATAGAAACAATAGTAGGTTAAATGAGACAAACAGTACCATACAAATTGGAAATTCCATATTCTGTTGTTTCTTATAAAAATTTATAAAAAATCATTTAAGTGGAGATTTCACCTATAATGATCAGATAGTAATAACATTCCAGTTTGGAATTAGCAATTCAATATGTTTTCAATTACAAATGCCAAAGAGTTAATGTATGTCTAGGTAATATTTGAAAAAGAATGAGTCACACAAACACAATTTCAGAGCAAGCTATTAATTATTTAGGCTCAGAGCTCTACTTTACAAGGATTCTTAAATTATCTTGCTTCATTTTATCAAATTAGAGAATACTTCAATAACTTATAAAACAGGCACTCCCAATACCTGGGATGGAAAATTGGGTAGCAAAGGGTGCATCTTCCAGGGACAAAATTAAACACTTTCAAGAGATACATTAACTAGGGTATTATTTTTTGAAAGAATTCCACATCTGTAGGGTCTAAGAGTTAAGCTAGTTCTCTAGACGAGTTGTTATTTTTAACAACTTGTTCCTAAAA